TCGGGGCATGAGCTCGTTTCTCTTCTGGCCTGGGCTCTATGTATTCTTTCAGATATCCATCTCGGACTAAGCTCTCCAAGAATGACTTGAACACCCTGCAGCTCTCGGTGCGATGCCCGACATCCCGGTGATATGAGCATCTTACTGTTTGATCACGGGTGGAGAGGTCGCTTTGCATCCTGGGCGGCCATTTGAAAAACGGTTCATGTTTGATTTTATGGAGCAACCTGTAGATGGGTTCCTTGAAGACGGTGTGAACTCCTCTGGACGAACCCCCTGGACGGGGTAGCAATCCCTTCCGGGGAATATCTTCGTGCTCTTTTTCCTTTCTCTTGGGTTGGAGGGCTCGGCCTTTGTTGCCCCCCATCTCGTCCTCGACCCTTGAGTACTTGTTGATTCGGGCCATCAGTTCCCCCATATCCGAGGGAGTCTTTTTGGTCAGGGATCGGTACAGGTCCGTGTCCCTGGCCAAGCCGAGCCGGAATGATGCTGCTGCCATGACCTCCGAGCATCCCTCGACCTCATTGACTTCTTCCCAGTATCGGATGGCGTACTGGCGAAGAGTCTCGGATTCCCTCCTCCTGAGGGTCAGCAGTGATCCAATGTCCTTTGGGCGCTTACTCCCCGTGATGAATCGGGTTAGGAACTGCCTTGTCAATTCTTTCCAGGACCCAATACTGTTTGGGGGAAGCGCCTCGAACCACCTCATCGCGGAGTCCCCCAAGCTCATAGGGAATACCCGGCATAGAAACCGTTGGTCCGAATGATAGAGGGACATCATCTGCTTATACTGTCTGATATGGGCATCGGGATCAGATCGCCCATCATAGGTCTTGAACCGTGGCACGACGAACTTTCTTGAGACGTCCATCTCGCTGATTTCCCTCGTGAAGGGTGTTTGCATGACTTCGTCCTCGGCCTCGTCCTGGATCGTCTTGCCCTTTCTCCTGGAGTCTAATCGGGCTCTGAGATCTACTTCCCTTGCGGGATGCCTCCTGAAGTCTCTGGGTTCGTCGGTAAGCCCCTCGTTTCCTGGGCGTCGTGTAGATTGGGTTGAGTCCTCCTCGGATTCATCTCCCTTCCTCCGTCTGGATAAACCTCGCCGGAGGTCGTCCAGGGCCAATGGCCTTGCTTTCCTGGAATGGTTGTCAAGATGGCATTCGCCGGCCCTGGGTCGCTTCGGGGCCCTGGAGCTTTCTGCTTTGTGATCCAGGTGGTTCCTTAGATCCTTTGTCTCCGCCTCATGGACGGGGAGTCCTCGGGAGAGGAATGAATCCCTCGACCCTCCGCCTGAGGCAGCAAACTCGTCGAGCCGGCTAAGGACGTTTACATTGTCCTTCTCCAGCTGACGTAATCTATCGCCAAATTTCTCTTCAATCACCTCTGCCAGCTGACGGGCCAAGGGGGCTGATCCTCCTGACCTGATACCCATACTGGTTTGAGGGGTTACCCCCCTTGACCGAGTAGAGGCACTTTTAATCGTACTGGTGCGATCCCTCCCTCCGTGATGGCAGGGAGCTTGCAACTCATGACTCCGTTGATGGGGTCCTTTCCCTTTCTGTCTGGTGTTCACCATGGTCACTGTTCTTTTATAGAGAAAAGATTAGGAAAACTACTCGTTTCCCACAGACGGCGCCAGATTGTGCGGGCTTGATCCTGCACGATATATAAAATATTGGGAACAGATCTCTCCCCTGGTGAACTTTGGGTGAGCCGGTTGAGTGGCCAAGCACACTGCTCGAAACAGCCTACAAGGAACGGTGGCAACCTGGAGCGGTGAAGGAAGATCCTGGGAAAGGAGGAACGATCCTGTACGTGCGAAAGGTATTTCCTGGAACAAAAGAGAACAAGTTAGAAGGGCGCCGGAGTGTTTTCCGGCGTATCCCCTCCGACGGTCTAGTCAGTCTTTGAATGAGAGAGAGGAAGGAGAAAACACTGAGAAGGATATTTCGTAGTAGGGAGTTTTTGATTGCATACCCGCTTTGTCTTTTGGGAGGGGTATTTATACCTTAGAAGATCATGATTGCTGTCAGTGTGGTCAGTAGGTGATCATCAGGCACAGGTAGCGTGTGTAATCATTTGATGAGGAATGTCTTCTCTAATTGACTGCTCGGGGTCCCGAGCAATAATGGTGAGTTGTCGGGACGCCGACGGTACAATATGCTCCTTTCGGGAAGGATGCAATAAATGCTCTGTAATAGGAGCATTTATTGCCTTTCATATCCGAACCTTACCGCATTAAATGCGGTCTCGTCAACAGAAGGGTGTAATTAATTGTTTGCTTTCCCAAGTCGCGTGCCAGCAGCGGCATGCGGTTTGTCTGCTTCGGATGTGACATTATTTGCCACACGTTCATCCCTTATTGGCTGTTACGTCGGTATTCCAGCACGTTCTGACATTACTTGTGTAAGAAGAGCTCATGATGACTAGTCCATACTGGCATAGGCTGATGTCCGGTTTTGTCAGTAGCTTTATCCGGGAGTAGGGGAAGCGTCCAGGATGGAGTGACCCTCGGTGCCGAGGAAAGTCTCACCTCGGGGGACCAAGGGGTGGTGTGTTCCCGAGGTACATGGTGACCGAGGACACATGTCTTTGTATACTGTACCGAATATGTGATCCTATATGAGAGGTACCTCGGGGAGAGGAAGCTTTGCCGATGGTGCTTGAACCCGAGCAACATTGTTCTAGAAATCCCCGAGGACACGTGTCTTCATCATAGGCTTTTTCAGAAGAGTCCCATCACTACCCATTAACACCCCAATGAAACATGCCCTTATGAGTTAGGACATAAATTTAAGGCTTGATCCTTGAGCTCAAACATGTGAAAGTTCAGGTGAATTTTTTCCTTATTGCGTTACTTTGTGCATGCTTAATTCTTTCATGGCGAAAGAGACCAGAAGTTCACTAGCTGAAACTATTTTGGGATTAGATCCATGGCTAACTTTTTCAGGCCAAAAGGACAAAAGCATTTTAAAAGACCTATTTACCTTCTGTTATCTCCAACGGAGCCCTCATAGTCGTCGATAAGGAAAACTACATAAAGCTACATGTCTTCTTCTCTAGATTCAATCATTGCTCTGGCTATATTTTAAAAAATGTTATATAATTCAAATAGTATTTAAAAATTATAATTCAAATATATATCATTATTTGAATGAGTATTAAAAAAATAATAAAATCTATTCATCCAAAAAATAATATGCATTTGAATTATAATTATTTATATTTTATTCAAGTTTTATAGTATTACTCTTATTACTTAGCCATTTCATATCCGGGGCACCGAAATCGGAGAGTGTAAATGAAAGAGTCAATCAGTGTCAGCCTCCTACTTACCAAAAAAAAATTGTCAGTCTCCTTAAGCACCTGTGTATACATGTGGCACAAATTATGAAAATTTTGTTTGGTAGAATGTTGGTTTGCAGATTTGTTCATGAAAAAGAACTACAGAATCTCTAAATAGGTTTTCTATTCCCAACCAACTCTCTATTTTAGAGAGTCAATAATTAAAATTTTATCTCCAATAGACTATTTATTTAGACTCTTTAAAATAAAGAATTTAATTTAGAATATCTGCAACAATGCTTTTTATTTTAGAGAACACATATCTTAAAATAGAGAGTACCTTTTACAAAAAATTAAATTAAAGAGTTAATTATTAAATACCACTCCAATAGGACTCTTTATTTTTATTATTTTATCATTTTATATTTTATCTTTTTTGGGTATAAATTTCGTTTTTCTATTATTTTGCCTCCATCATTTTAACAAAAAATAATCTATAAACTATTCCAAACCAAGATACACAAACCAAACACAAAATATATACATCAACTTATTTAAAATCTATTGATTAATTTAAAATTAATATATATATATACACACACATATAATATAAATGTATGTACACGTACCAATAAACAAGTTTAAGGATGACTGCCAATTAAAAGTGCCAATTAAAAGTTTAAGGATGACTGCCAGTTTAAGGATGATTCCATCCATTTAAGGATGGAATCAATAAAGTGTCAATTAATAAACAAGAGAAATAAGTTGAAGCAATAATTTAATAGTCAGATCTTGATGTTGTTCTTGTGGAGTTTGAAGACAAATTTAGCTTCTTCAGAGAAATCCATTCGGAGGTTCAAACGAAGGGAAAAAATGGGTTTGTCATAGTTGAAATATATTTAAACTCAATGTCTTGTTAGACAAGACAAAGATTCCATTTTTCTAGTGAGTTTAACTCTCCAAATGTAGAGAGTGAGTTTGACTCTCCAAATGTGGGGAGTCAAATTGGACTATCTATTTTAGAGAGCTTAAGTAAAGAGTCCATTGGAGATTAAATTTGGGGAGTTGACTCTCTAAAATAGAGAATTGAGCGAGAATGGAGAGCATATTGGAGATGGTCTTAGCTCTCCAAATTTGGAGAGTCAGCCTAACTCTCTACTCTATTTTTTGGAACTAAAAAAGGGTATATTTGTCTTTTTTATCCAAGACACTCAGGATAAAATATATCTCAATTCTAAAAAAGAAGAAAAAAAAAGGATAGAAGTCAAATTTATTCTGAAAAAGGGCAAAACATAAAATAATCTATATAATAATGGAGCTAAATATTATTTATTTTTAACTTTTCGCGGCTTAGATCGTTTGAAGATTTTTCATCTGATGGTCCTAATTAATCACACTTTTGAGGAAGACTTTCATTCCTTTTACAACTCTAACACCCTCATTTCTCATATCTATATAATAAAATAGAGTTGGGTTTAAATTTTGGAGATAAAGAGAGGTGTAGATTGTTTTGAGACAAAACATAAACACATCAAATCGACAACGTAATCCCAACAAAAAAAGACGGTTTAGATTATTTCAAAATTTTTGATCTAATGGATCAGAGTAAGTACTAAACTTTGTTTTTTCACCCAACAATATTTTCTGACTCGTGTCTCTCTCTCTCCCTTCCAAAATCTCTCAAATCTTCCCAATCCCATCCAAAATTCAAATCTCGCCCATTTTAGTTGCACACACATGGCACCCCAAGCACTCCAACCCAAGCCAAACTCTCTCTCTCTCCTCTGCGGATAAAGACCCAACTTAGGCCCTTATCTCTCACTCTCTCACCGATCGCTCCTCTGCCATGGCTTAATCAGCAAATGTCACCCAATGTCACCCTGGCACCTCTCTCTCTCTCCAGATCTTTCCCTTTACTTATATGCTTTCCAACTCTCTTACACGCCTCTCTCTATCTCTGCCCTCTTCTGCGAAGCAACAACCACATCTATTCTCAACGCCAACGTCAACGGCAGTCAGCGTAGCTACTCAGGTATCTCATCTCAGATCTCTTACACATATCATCTCCCATTTTTCTTTTTCTCTCTGTCACCCAAAAGTCCCTCTTGGTGTTCCTCCCACTTTGCACACAAGATATTCAGTAGATTACCATGCCAATATTTTTTGATTAAACATAAATCATGTTCAATCCTCCAAAATTGTGTTAAAAAAAGGGTTTGGGTTTTGAATTTCATGTTTTCTTGCATATCCACCTTGAGTTTGGGTTCACTGTTTGAGTTTTGCTTAAATTAAAGATCATGTTTGGGTTTGGATTTTGCTTAAATTAAAGATCATGTTTGGGTTTGGGTTAATGTGTTATTGGTTGTGTTCACTGTTATATTGGGTTTTGCTCACTATTATATTGGGTTTTGCAATAAAAATTACAATTGGGTTTTATCATTGTAATTAATTTGCTCACTGTTATATTGGGTTTTGCAATAAAAATTGCAATTGGGTTTTATCATTGTAATTAATTTGCTCACTGTTTGGGTTTGGTTTTGGGTTCACTATTAAATTGGCTTTTGCTCACTGTTATATCCCCCTTCATTTGTGTTTCTTTGCTAGCAGCCGCCCCTTCTCTCATTTCTTTTTGTGTTACTTGATGATGCTAGCAGTCACAGGAAGCTTAGAGATTGATCATCATCCTCCCATAGGTAACAATTTTTTCTCTTTTTTTTTTTGCAACACACGCGCACACACTGAACACACGTTGTTGAATAGTTAAAGTTGTTGGAATTTGAATACAATAGTTGTGATTTGCTGAGATGCAAATGAATTGAGTTTTCATCACCTAGCATGAGGCAAAATGGGTTTTCTTAATTTTTCAATGTTGTTGCAGGTCCCACCAATACCGTCGAATTCGTTCCCAACAATACCCTTGAATTCCAGTTTGTTCCCAGCAATACCCTTTCTTTGGAAGTAGTGTCCTACTTTTACATTTCAACTTAAAGCAGTAATTTTGATTTATCACAAAGCTGCGATGGTTTTAACCTTCCAAGGTGTGTGCATGTATTAGTGTCTACAATTTGTTTGTCTGTTTAGCTACTATTTGTTCCATACAACACAGTGGTGCCGCCTTACTCCCTAAGACACCACTGCCACCAACCCAAAATCTGGTTATTAGGTTTTTTTTTTTTGTGGCAAAATAACAGTGGTTATTAGCTAGGTAAATTTTTACATTTTTTTGCATGTGCGAGTGATTGTGGTGATTAGCTAAACTTCATTCTTGGCATACGACATTTATTGAAATAATGCTACAACAATACCAATTGAAACTTTTTTTGCTCTTTGTTTTTTTAGTTTTATTTTGTTCTTCTTTCATCTACCTACTTTCGATTGGGCCCGTTTTATAATTTTAATATTAGTACTTGCATTCAAGTATGCTCGAAAACTGATCGATGAAATGCCTAATATAGACTTTATCAATTGGAATGGTGATTATTGGTTATTTTCTCTTGGCTTCTTACCAAGGTATACGTATATGTGCCATTGTAGTGAACTTTCTCTCCGTGTGTGCTGATTGGGTGTATCTATGGTGAAATGATATAATTTCTTGGGTTATATTCTATTAAGACTTTGTTTTTCTATCTTATGTCAGGTAAGTTTTTATTTTATTTTATGTCATTGCTTGGTGGTATAAAATCAAAACCTTAACACAATCTATGCATGCAGATCTCAATTTGGGTTGCGTCGAAAGGGCTTTTTATACCACCAGCACTTTTCGTTTTCTTTGTGGCTCTTCGTCCCTTCTCACTAGTCCAAATTATCCAGATAATTGGATCATATAATTGTTCTTTGATTTTTTTTTTTGTTTTCTAGATTCCCCTTCCCAATGGGTGAGAGCATATTTACATTTGTAAAGGTGAAGGGAGCTCGATATACTAGATTGAGAAAAGTATTTCTTTTGGCATACTCATATATCTATAATGTCATTTTGTTTTCATTGTGGTCAACCCTCAATTTTTGTTTCCCGTTTTGCATGAAAGTTTTTGTTATAAAGTACCTTCAGTATACATATTTGTTTGCGATTTTTTATTTGTTGCGCAGTGCCTTCAGGCACGTGCAATAGCTAGTAACTCTCTATCTCTAATGCTTTTTTATTTTAGACGTTTATCTCTCATATAATTCTCTTTCTCTCTCTCTCTCTCTATATATATATATCATATTTCTATCTCTCAGACTTTTTAAAATTTAAACACACACACAAATGTCTCTACCTCTCTCTCTATCTCTTTCGTACCTATAGCTCAAACGTCTCTCTCATACCTCTTTGCTATCTCACGTATCTCTCTCACATGTCTCTGTTTACATTCGGTTAGTCTCTCTCTCTCTCTCTCTCTCTCTCTCTCTCTCTCTCTCTCTCTCTCTCTCGCTGACACATACTATTACAATTTCTTCTACCCCCTCACCACCATTCAACACCCACAATTGCTTCTATCTAGATATACTTCTATTCAAGCTCTTTGTTCGAAGTGCCCCGCGAATATTGTACCAGCAAAGCACATATGTTCTTGACGTAGTTATGTTAATCAAATCATTTTGTTTAGTGAGATGTTTTACTACATTGAATATATATCCATTACAATTGCTTCAATCTAGATGTAATTCTATTAAAACTCTTTGTTCGAAATGTCTCGCAAATACTGTACTAGCAAAATACGTACGTTCTTGACATAGTTATGTTAATCAAATCATTTTGTTTTACTGAGCTGTTCTACTACATTGAATATATATACATAAGTGTCTCTTTGTTCGGTTTGCATGCCTGTAGCTGGATTGTGTGAAGTCAAAGTTTTTTTCCCAAAAAAGAAATTGAATTATCTATTTTATGTTTTTCGTGTTTTTTCTTTTATTTTTTTTGGTTGGGCATCTACAATCTCACATATAGAATAAGGTGCCCAAATTTTCTCACCATTGTTAGCGTATTGACAAAGGATTAAGATGCCCAAAAAGGTATTTTGCCATTGCCTACGCACTGATCACGAATTTTTCAGGTTGATACATTGTTGTTTATTTGCTCTATTTTGATGCTGTGCTGTAAACTTTATTTTTTGTTGATTTACAATAATAGTCAATGAGTTGGTTAATTTCTTTTCAAGCTTCTGACTTTGAATAGATTTTACACTGCATACTTAACCTGAAGTTATGGATTCATAAACCATACTGATTTAATCTTTTTAGATATCATTAAGTTGTAATTAAGTTTAATGGTTGAATTCTACTTACTCTAAGTACATCGTAACTTCTATACAATACCAAAATTCATCATAACTTCTATACAATACCAAAATTCATAGATTATCCTTTTTTTTTGGGTATGTATTGTATATTATTTTTTTCTGTGTGAGATTAGAGACTAACCTCTTTTGGATAGCCATGGCTTATGCAGTTGAATCCTTTTCTAGCTTCGCCAATTGTCTTGTTCTATAGTGCTTGATACGTATCTTGCATGACAAATTGTGATTGATTAATCTATTCTAATAGGGATTGTTTTTTCTTGCATATTTCATGACTTTCTTGGGTTATTCATGGTGGGCTTTTTGTGGACTCTAATTTTTTGTGTTGATCCCGGATAATGACCCAACCCGAAATAATATTGCATGGTTTTTAATGTGAAATTTTCTGAGATTTAGTCCATAGAGCAGAAGCTTAGGCTGATAAGACATATAAAACCTGGTGTAGGACATATAAAACTTGTTGTTTTGGGAGATTAGGGTTTGATTGACTCTGTACGGCCACTTTGTATTCCTTCTTGATAATAGTAAAATTCCTGCAGGTTCGTAGACGTAGGCAAATTGTCGAACCACGTAAATACTGTCTTGTGCCTGTGATAATTTTTTTTTTGACGTGTGTTTTCTCTATTGTTGGTTCTCACAGGTTTGGGAATTTTGTGTGAATTTCCTAACAACTGGTATCAGATCCTGGTTTAGGGTTGAGTGGGAGCAATGGTAGAGGAAGTAGGAAAGGCGTATGGAATAGAAAAGTTCGATGACACAAACTTTGGATTCTGGAGGATGCAATCGAGGATTATCTTTATGGGAAGTAGTTGCATCTACCATTTTTAGGAGAAAAACCTGTGACTATGAAGGATGAGGATTGGACTCTTCTTGACAGACAAATACTGGGAGTTATCAGGTTAACTCTGTCTAGGTCTGTTGTACACAATGTTGTAATGGAGAAGACTACAACAGATCTGATGAAGGCTTTGTCTGGTATGCATGAAAAGCCATCAACAAACAACAAGGTGCATTTAATGAAGAAACTGTTCAATTTGAAGATGGAAGAGAACACATCAGTAGCACAACATCTGAACGAGTTTAACATTATCACAAGTCAATTGTTGTTTGTAGAAATTGATTTTGATGATGAGATTCATGCACTGATCATTTTAGCTTCTTTGCCAAACAGTTGGGAGGCAATGAGGATGACAGTAAGCAATTCTACAGGAAAGGAAAAACTAAAGTACAATGACATACGAGATTTAATTCTGGCCGAGGAGATTCGCAAAAAAGATGCAGGTGAAACCTCAGGATCTAGTTTTGTCCTAAACTTTTAGATAAAAGGCATAGGAAATGATAAAATTCAAATAGGGCATATCAAAATTCAGAAATTCTAATCGGAATAGAAGTAAATCTAGATCAGACCAACAAGCAAAATGCTGGAATTGTGGGAAAATGGGTCACTAAGAGGTAATGCAAAAGTCTTAAGAAGAAGAATAAAGATGATTCTGCTAATGTTGTAACAGAAGAGGTACAAGATGCATTACTTCTTGTAGTAGACAGTCCACTTGATGATTGGATTTTTGACTCAGGAGTTTCATTTCATACTACTCCACACCAAGAAATCATGGCAGGTGAATTTGGTAAGGTGTATTTGGCTGATTGTATAGCCTTGGATGATATGGATATGGATATGGAAAACATCTGAATATTATTGTCCAATGGGTCTATTTGGTTACTCACTTGATCCTAAATGTGTACACTCAAGTGCAAGTGATCAAGCTGTAGTAATAATTCGGTTGAGTCTGGAGTCAAATCCTTAGGGAACTATGATTGGTGTTTCGAAGTGAGTAGTAGTAGAGACCAAGTAACTGGAAACTTCGAGAATTTGAAGTTGTGAGATTTCCTGAATATAATATAAAATTCTTTCCAAGAGTTTTCTAGACAAAATATAAGATAAATTTAAATGTACAACAGTCATCCTTTAGCTCGAGGATCAGAACATGTAGTTAATCATCCGATTTATTATAGTTGTGTTGGATAACTCAATTAACTCCCATGTCAATAACAAGTTCATCAGAAGATAAAAATGGACTGTGAGAATTAAGTACATGATTCCAATACCTTTCTAGAAGTTGACAAGAATATTTGTGCCGAGATTTAACCCGTCTACAAACAAACAAGTGTTTCTACAAGACATCCAACCATGACATTAATGTTCCATCTTTGGATAAAGCTCAATAACATTGAAGATTGAATTGTTGTCATAAAGATCTAGCCGGGGTGTTTGCCTTGAACCAACGGGTCTTTCCATGCAAAAGTCATCCGTGACATTGAAAGAACTCATAGTTATAAAAAGTACCTTAGTTTTGATAGATACATTCAGTCATTCAATAAGTGAAATATAAAACATTAAAACATAAAAGAAATGTACAAATATAACTTCGGATAATTTTTTACATATTCATCACCTCTTATTAAAGAGTGAAAAAGGAACTACTCATTCTTCATGCTTGGATAAAGCCAAAAAAGTGAGTGATGCTCATCCCACTAAGTAAAGAACTTACAAAGTAAATACAATAAGCGATGAGCCGTTCTTCACCAAAGAATAAGTGAATCACATTCCACCCTTCACGGTTTTGGTAAATCTCTAAAAAAGTGGAAGAGTCTCACTTCTCCAAGGAAGAAGGAAGCTCAATCAATGGAAGTGAAATAAAAGAACATTGAATGTAAAAGAAAGCTAGTTACTCTTGGAGGGTAACTTCTTCAACCAAAAGATGGAGGGTTGCTTCCTCAACCAACAAGTGGAGAGTGCTTCCTCAACCAACAATTGGAGGGCTGTTTCCTCAACCAAGAGATGTAACACAAGCAAATATAACATACATCCAAGATTAATCAAAATGAGTGGGAGTCTAAACCTCCACACAAACTCGTTACTAGTTATTGGTGTAGTCTAAGCCTACAAACCAAGCTCTAGCTCCTTACTTTACAAGAGGAAGAATGCCCCCTTAAGCTCCCTTAATGGGAGTATTTATAGGAAAGGAAAGGGGGGGGGGGGGAGAGAGAAACAAGAAGATAAGAGAGGATGAATGAATAGTGTATGCCGCCCATG